TTGTGCATGCAAATTTTAGGGCTTATTCCCTTCAAATCTGTCACAGTCAAACCTAGAGCTTTCTTATGCTGTGAAAGAACATTTATCAAATTGTATTCTTGCTTAGGGGTTAGACTAGCAGATATTGTAACAGGTAAAGTATCATCACTACCTAGGTAAAAATACTTCAAATGTGATGGAAAAGGTTTAAGTTCCAAGGTATGAGCATGTTGTAGTGAAGGTTTCGGAGGAACAAATTCATCAAAGTCAAGAGGTTCAAAGCGCGTACCTGGTCTAGCTAGAAGTAAGCTAGACTGCTCCACCACTAAGGAAAATTCCTCGGACTCCACAATTTCTTCAGCTTCAGTAAATCTCTCATACTCTTCCAGCTGTAAAAAGTTGTTGCAGCAGAAATTTACAGCGTTATCCGCACGCTTCACATCTAACAAACATTGGCATTCTTCCGAATCGTCCACATACTTAAGTGTGTTGAAGACATTGATAGTTACACTCTGATCAACCACCCTCATTGTGAACTCTCTCTTCTCACAATCAATGAGAATGTGACCAGTGGCTAAAAAGGGACGCCCCAGAATGGTGTGCGCATTATCGTCGCCCTCACAGTCGAGAATGAGAAAATCAACAGGAAACACAAACTTGTCAACTTTTACTATGACATCCTCAATTATTCCTTTGAGACAAATGTGAGTTCAGTTAGGTAATTGTAGGATCACGGTGGTCGGTCGAGCATTACCCATTCCAAGCTTCAAGATCATGGACTTGGGTATCAAATTTACACTTGACCCAAGGTCACACAGGGCTCCCCCACATATTTATCACCAATAAAACATGGAATAACAAAGATGTCAGGATCTTCTCGCTTCGGCGGAAGTTTACTCAGCGCAGAACATTATTCTTTTCCTGTGGCGACAGTTTCAAACCTTTCCACATTTCTCTTCTTGGTGACAATGTCCTTGAGAAATTTAGCATATGTTGGCATCTGATCAATGGCTAGGGGTGTTCAAACAGGTAATTTGGTTAACTGACTAAACTGAATTACCTAAATTCCATTAACCAAATTTTTCCCATTAACTGTTAACCGAACCAAATTTTTTCTAAAAAAATTAACTAAACCGAACTAAGTTCGGTTAATTGATCGGTTAACCAAAGTAACCGAATTAACCAAAATTTATAAATAATATATATTATATATTAAATAATTAATATTTTTTGGTTTATTGGATTAATTTGGTCTGTTAATTCGGTAAAAATCGAGTTCAAACACCCTGAAAGCTAAATAATATATATATAATATTAAATATTTAATAATTCCAGTTAATTCGGTTAATTAACTGATTTCAAACTGAATTAATCAAAACCAAAATTTGAAAAAAAACTATTAACCGATAACCAATCGAACCCAAAATTAACCGACCAAAATTTTGATTTGGTCTGTTAATTCGGTTTTAACCGAACAGTGAACACCCCTATCAATGGCCTCCAAAAGCGGGACATTGATATTGTAATACCCCAAATTTTGACTAATGACTAAAATGTAAGATTTGAAAGTTTGGTGGCTAAAGTATAAACTATGTAAAAGTTTAGGGACCCAAAAATATAATTTTGAAAAGTTTATATTTTATCCCGTAGATAATGTTTGATTTGAATTAAAATACCTTAGACAATATAAAGATAAAGATCTTGGTAAGGTGGGATTCAGTGTAAGTCATCGATGTATTTTGATCTAAACTGTTGGATCTTGAGGAGCTCAACTATAAATAGAGGTCTTCTCATCTCTTTTGTAATCATTTCATTCTTTCTGAGTAAAATCTCAAGCATTTACTTTTATTTTCTATCTGAGTTACTTTTTTTTATAGCTTCTTAGCCTTTTGGCCTTATTTCTCTTTGTATTAGCCTTTGTGTTTTGTTACTTCTCGTGGTGGCTTAGAAAGCTCCGAAAGTGTTTATACTTCCGCATTGTGTTCAACCTTAGTGGCTTGTGTAGCCCCGTTGGTCTTTAGTTTCTGCACATTTGTTTAACCCTAGCGGGTTTATTCGTCGCTTGGTGAGCTTGAATTCTCACAAGGATGTAGTTAAGTTTGACTTGGACGCCTTTTTGATCATGAAAATGTCTAAGTGCTGCACGAATCAGCTAAAAAAAGTTTAGTCCCGTAACATTATGTATTTGAGAATATTTAAATTTTATATAACTTACAATAATAAAAACTTTTAGTTAAAAAAATACTAAATTTAAATCTACTCTAAATTTGAAAACTTTAAAATTTTAAATGAAATACATGCCATTAAAATAAGTATATTTATATTTTTTTGAATAGTCTGGGATGATTATAAAATATCATTTGTTTATAATATTTCTTAGCCATTGACACTGCACACATGGACGAACACATGATTTTAAGTTAGAATGGACGAACTTATAAAATTTTAGGGGGACGAAAATAGATTTTCAACAGAAAATACAAAGAAAATATCTAAAATATATAGAGATTTAAAGATTTTAGGGAGGCACCCGCCCTCACCTAGGTCCATCCCTGAACACACACACCTTACAAACGTAGTTGTTCGAACCCATGATTTCAAGAGAGAACAACACTTTCATTGACCACTGAGATCACTCAATAAGTTCAATAAATCTATATACATTAAAATTTATACAACTTTTATATTAAATAAGTTTATTTAATTAGTATATTATATATTTTGAATAATTTAATCAAAGGTTAGTCTTTGATATTGCCACAATTTATGTTTGTTTCTTTAGCTTTTTTACTTTATTGTGGAATCTAAAAACTCAACAGACATATCGAATAATTTTTAATTTAATTACTTCAATTAATTTTGACATTGGCATCAAAATAACCCATAAGCAAAATTTAAAAAGTCAACAATGTTTTTTTCAAAGAACAGTTTAGTTTAGTGATTATTATTACTATTATAACAACTTGAAAATCATGTATTCAAATTTTATAAATATTTATTTTATATAATAAAGTAATTTACTTTTTTATCAATATGGAGTAAGTACATTGTACCTTTAATATTTTTGGTGCTCGAAACTAATACCTCAAAGAATAATTACAATTCCTTTACCACCACAATTGCTTGATTCGTGCAGTAATTTATATTTTAAATTGGTGTAAATATAATATTTTTTCACTTAATGATGAAATAGTTTTGTGTGTTATTACTTAATATATATATAGGATTCGCTTACACTATGTAAACTAAACAGTTTTACACATTTTTTAGTATCATTAGAGAAGGATAAATCAAAGGTTGAGATTAATAGTAAAAAATGAGAAGATATTCACTGGAAAAAAAACAATGAGTTAATCTCAGCCTTTAATTTCTCCCATCCAATGATCATAAAAGAGTATAAAACTAAAAGAGTTTTACACAATGTAAATGTATCTTAACGTTATATATATATATATATATATATATATATATATATATATATATATGTGTGTGTGTATGTATTATGGTACCTACCAATTAAACCTATTCATTTTTTTAAATTATTATATTAAGAGAAACTTTTCACATAAAAATAAGTATTAGTATTGAATTAAGCGACCTTAATGATTAAATGTATAATTGATATTTTTAAAAGTCTCGAATTCAAGTACCAACAACTATAAAGTATTTGAACATTTATTATTAAATAATTAAATATATTTAAAATAAATATTATCATTTATAATTGTAATAGATTAACTACGAAAAAGGCTTAAATATAAAAAAGGTGCTCAAAGTATGCCTTTGGTTCCAGTTTGGTGTCTAATGTTTCATTCTTTAACTAGTTTGGGTCAGGTCGTGACGGACCATTAAGTTTGGCAGTTAAGTGACACATGTCACAACTTGGTAATTTTAAATTTTTTATTTAAATTTAATATATATATATATATATATATATATATTAAAAAGAAAACTCAAATTTTGAAAAAAACCCCAAAACTTTGAATTCGTGACTGATCGATGGTCGGTCGATGATAAATCAACGTTTTATATTCGCGAACCATAGGATGAAAATCGCGATCCCATGCGATTTCGACGGTCAATTAATCATGATTTCATAGGGTTTTTGGTCGCCGGGGGGAGGGAGGTTGAGTGGAGCTTCGTCGATGGCAAAAGGCGGTGGTCGACATAGGTTTAGGGGTTGAAATGAATGTTTTTTAAGTTTTAGGGATTGAAATAAAAGTTTTTAAAGTTTTAGGTTTATTTCAAAATTTTGTGTTTTCCTTTAAACAATATATATATATAATTTAATTTTTCAATTTCAAATAAATTTTTAAAATTATAACTTTGTGACACGTGTCACTTAACGACCAAACTTAACAGTTCGTCATGATTTGACTCAAACTGAGTTACAGAATGAAACTTTAGGTACTAAACTGAAACGAAAAAATATTAGGTACCAAAATAAAATCAAAGGCATAAATTAGACACTTTTTTATATTTAAGCCTAAGAAAAAAGGAAAAAGAAAAATGTGAGTTATAATTCAAGTTCTTGAGAGTTGAAAACCATCGACAGTCCCATAAAAGTAGGTCAAATGTTGGAGAAAGGCATGCGAACTCAAACCAAAGCCCAAACAAACCAAAAATTAAGGGTAAAAGTATATCAACGGTCACTTAATTATTTTAAAATGGTCATTTTGATCAATGTACTTTCAAAAGTTATAAACAATATATTTTTTATATTAATACAAAATAATAATTAAATTTTATATATGTATTATAAAATTATAATTAAATTAATTGAACCTTTATACTTATTATAATGATTTAATGATCATTCTATAACAATTTTATAATATTATTATAATGATGCAATGATCATTTTATAACAATTTAATAATATTAATAATTATTTTGTAATTTTTAAGATTTAAAAGAGTAAATAATCATTTATAAATAGTTCATTGACTTTGTGTGTACTTTACCCATAAATCAAAAACCAACCGACGTAAGCAACCGTGCAAGAAACCAATAAACTAACCAAAGCCTGGGCTTTTTGTCTTAACAACGCAACCCGACACACCAAAATCTCTGTCTTTTGATTCTTTTCCTTCGGTTACAATCTTTAAATTTTAAATTTTCTCTTTCTTTGAGTTCATTATTATGTTAACTTCCATTGTCTTAATTTCCAGAATCATCATCACTGCCTAATGAAAGTGAAACCCCTCTAAACCATTAAAGAAGGTAGCAAAACTCGTTCACACTCACCTGCTGAAACTAAGGTAAAAAGACAAACTAAGAAATAGTACATACCCTTTATTTCTATTCACATTGTTTATTATTTGGGGATATTCAACTTGTTTCTTTTTTCTTTTTTGGGTTTTCTTTTTGCTGGAGATTTTTTTAAGGTTATTAGGGTTAGGGTTTCTTCTTGGAGTAAAGTTAATCTCACACAAGATGCAGCAGCCACAGCAAACGATTCCCATGATGCCTTCATTCCCACCTAACAACATCACTACCGAACAGATTCAGAAGGTATATTTGTATTTATAGTGATAGATATACTTTGTTTAGTGCTAGTACTTATAAGTTATGGGGTTGTTGATGGTTAGATGCTGACCTGGAAGTTTTCATTTTTATGGTAATTTTTAGATATGGCTTCAACTCTCCTTTAAAAAAGAATAATTTTTGATGAGATAGAAGAAGCCCCGTAATCTTATTTTGTTCCAAAAGAGAAAAAGAAGCAGCTCGTTTTCATGTATGTTTATGGTTATTACGTTTATGAGATGGAAGAGTTGTGCTTTTGTGAATTGGTTGTATATATTAGTAGTTATTGCAACAGAACAACGATGCTGAAAAGGTAAGGGTTAGCTGATGTTGGTTTAAGAAGTTAGGGTAACAGAGATGGATAGCATAGAGAGATGAATGGAAGTTATTGCTGATGCAGCGATCTAATTATTCTTTTTGTCGTATACGGTCGCTAAAGGTGTGGTTGATTAAATTGGAAGTTGTTGGTCATGTTGGGGATCTAATTATTCTTTTTGTCGGGTATGATGTGGTTGTTTAAATGAGATGTTCTTGGTAATGCAGGGGATTTGATCTAACTAATATTTTTGTCATATACGATGTGGTTGATTAATTTGGTTCCGTTTGTAGTTTTAGAATCTGTCATTACAAGCAAGAAAGTTGTGCCATATTGAATGGTGAGATGCATCTGGCACATCTAGTGATTATTCTTGGTGCTGGGGAGAATCAAAGTTCTGATCTATTCTGTCAATTTGATTCTCACCGTTTTGTCTCCTAAAGCATTTCCTCCCTTTTGTTTGTCTTTTACGAAGTATGCAAATCATCTATAACAACCCTTTTAATGTCTTTTCGAATTTATTTTCTTATATAACATCTTTTTGAAATTTATTTGCAATGTTTCCTGAAAATTCATTAAAGCAATGAAACATTTTACTTGGAATATTTTGACATGAAAAAAAAATCTGAGACATACTTGAGAGTTTGTGGGCATATATTATAGATCCATGTTGAGGTTTTACTGATCTTCAGTGTGTATTAATTCTCCAACTACTTAATTGTTGTGAATTCCCTCTTGGTTACCATGCTCGGGAATGGAATCCAAATGGAGTTACTAGATTAGTTAAGCTGTTTACATGGTTCCAAAGATATGGTCCTTGCAGCAGAAGCTGAAATGCTGCTTTCCTAATAAAGGGCCCCTAGCTTAAAGCTGTCCCAGTTTTTCAAATAAATAAATAAATAAAGCTGTCCCAGTGGCTCTTATCTGGTCCGTGCTTGAGTTAAACTAATTAAAAGCAATTCATATCCGCTTATGCCTCGATAGTTATGCTTACTTTTCATCGCTTAACTTTAGTTTAGATCAAGACAGGGTGATAGATGAGATTTTCATGTTCCACTTTTTATTATCTGTTCCTGAAATGCTAATATTCCTTTCGAGGAAAAGCATTAGTTAGTTATATTGTGCCATAAATCTTAAACATTGATATTATTAATTATTAAAGAATTTATTGATATTGTGTTTTGTTTCCCGAAAGTCATAGAGGTATTAGATAGAAGGTCAGTGATATTATTTAGCAAAGCTGTTTGCTGATTTTTAGAAGCTTCTAAGACGTGGGCTCTATGAGTTATTTCTCATGGATGATGATTATGTCTGTTGTGGACTAACCTAAAACCTTAAAAGCTATCATTTGTTCTATCAAAGGGAATGCATTTGAAGGGGTCTGTACATTCGACATTCCTACTATCCATTTTTATGCCAAAACTTCCTACTGAATGGGCTATCCTTCCTAGGTCAACATCCCTTTTGAAAAATGAAGTTTCAGGAAGACCTCGACGAATTTAAGAAGTGCTTAAATGAAAATTATTTTGGTAGAGTTTGGTTGACATACAATCTTTCGGTAAACTGCATACCCCCAAGATTTTGTAATATTTAGAGGAGTCTGAATATCTGCCCCAAATAGTTATCTGTTGGGCATATTGACAGTTTTTGTCGCATAGTGCCAAAGAATGCAATATATAATAATTGGGACATTAAGTTGTTCTTGTGGTTTTTTCGTTTCCCAATCTTATTGCAGTACCTTGATGAGAACAAGAAGTTGATTTTGGCAATTTTGGACAACCAGAATCTCGGAAAACTCGCTGAATGTGCCCAGTAAGTAATTTATGAATCTATCTTTTTCTTCTATTTATCTTGATGGTGCGTGCATCATTATTTGCTCTCATTTAGTCTTGTGGTTTTCTTGTCCGCTTTTGGTCCTTGCATAATTCAACAATATCCGGAGAAGTCAGGATAACATGTATTGTTCTGGTCGGCAGAAGCTACAACTTTTTGTTGTCTTGGTTTTCTTCAAACATGCTATTAGGGATTTGTGATGGGAAACTAGTTTATTTTACTTGCATTCTACATTTTTTTGGTCATTAGCATATGAATGATATAGTCAATTAGCTTAGTTTCGATCCAGATGGTACCAAAGAGGAGAATTTTAGAAGCTATAAAGCTTGGAAATTGGGACAATAATTTATACTTGCATTCTACCAAAGAGGTGAATTTTAAATGCAAGTAAAACTAGTTTTTTTACTTGCATTCTACCGTTTGTTTTCCATCCCGTACATGTGTTTGGTTTTGCACATTCACGCAAGGACATATGCTTACATGCGTGAGATTTAGGCAGCAAATATATCTAAGATTTTGATGTTTTAGGTATCAAGCTCAGCTGCAAAAGAATTTGATGTACTTAGCTGCGATTGCGGATGCGCAACCACAAACAACGCCCACAATGCCTCTTCAAGTGAGTGTTAAAATTAAATTGTTTCCTTCTATTCTATCTGCTGTTACACTGTCTGCTCACATATGTTTTTCCAACAACTACAGATGGCACCGCATCCTGCAATGCAACCAGGAGGATATTTTATGCAGCACCCTCAGGCCGCTGCAATGGCACAGCAGCAGGGAATGTTCTCCCAAAGGATGCCGTTTCAATTCAACAACCCGCATCAAATGCAGGATGCACAGCAACAGCAGCTACACCTGCAGCATCAACAAGCCATGCAAGCTCAAATGGGAATCAGACCTGGAGGGTCCAATAACGGCATGCATCCCATGCAAGCCGAGGCTAATCTTGGAGGTGGTGGCAGTGGTGGTCTCTCTTCAGCTTCGGGCCCAAATGATGGACGTGGTGGGAACAAGCAAGAGGGTGCTGAAGCCGGTGTTGATGGGCAGGGCGGCACAGCTGGTGGTCACAGTGACGGAGTAGACAAGGCAAAGTGACTGCCCACCCTAAGTTGTTTTGATCCGATACTTATGGATGTTGATAGTAAGCGCCTCTTACAATAGTTGTACTGTTTCGGTAATCTTTCGATGGGCAGACGGTGTTAGAACTAAAAGTTTATCTTTGTTGCTCTTTAGTATTAAAGGGTTTAGGTAGTTAACCTTTGTTGGGAGGCTCTTGGCATGCCAATGAATCGAAAAAGCAGCTAATTAGATGACAGTTTTAATTGTAATCGGAAGAAAAGCTTAAAGCTTCTGCGTGTATCTGAATTGTGATCCCAGTTAAAGCTTTCTCGGTTGCTGCCGGTAATGTTTGTGCTAAAACAGCCCATGGTGGTCATGGTTGTAAGTGGAACCTACCATGAGACCACTTAAATATTCGTTAAAGATGAGTAGTCGAGTTCAAGTGAATGGAGTTAAAGGTGCCGGCAAGCAGTTGGCTTCTCCTTTACAAACAGGGGTCCATGAGATAAGGCTAAGCCTATGGTTGAGGAAGATAGCGATGCCGGTCTATTGTCACAAGCAGTTGGCTGCCGTGTACCTTCACTAGCCTTTTAATTATCCGGTTTGGTATGATATTAAATTTGTGTTGGTACATCAAATTGATGGCGCCGAGCTTTGAGGAAGGGGAGGTAAAGAGCAACGAATAAGGTATAGACGGAAAGAAAGACATCCACTTCTAATAAAATATTTTATTGATAAGAAAAAGGAATCCTAAATAACCTTTTAAAGAAATACGAATGTAAGTTTATAATTCTTTTCAAAATATATTTATCATTTTTTAATTTTAATAACCACATATATATGTGAAAATAATATCCATTAGCTTTTACGATTCTCCTGGAAGGTTGGAATCTTTCCAAGTCATTAGTGAAAGTTCTGCCTGAACTGTTTCAATTATATAAAAAGAATCTAAGAAATTATTTTTAAATTAAGATGTTGATCTATGTAATTTGACTTAAAAAAATGCTGCGTCTACAAGCAAAGCCAAAACTACCTTCCTCGAATTTTGTTTAGCAGACGGTATCACCAATTTTAATATTAATTGTTAACTGCCAATGATTATTATTTTCTTTCTCTTTTTTTATATTATGTCGTTTTTTTTTTGAATTTTTTTATTTTTAAATAAGAATTTATGTCATTGTGACACATTTTTCTATGTTCTTGTGACATGCTCTTTTCCTGCTTTTGTGACACGTTCTTTATGACTTTTGATACTTTTTTCGCGTACCACAGCGGTCCTGTTGGTGCTTGATCCTCACAACATTTATTTTCTGCTTGGTTTGTCGGTAGTCACGTATTTCAAATCCATCTTTAATAAAAGGTTGTTAGAATTGTATAGTGAAGCAATTTGTCAAATTATTTGGTTCAGTCACTATTCCTTTATCACTTTATACTTCTTAAAGTGTCTTGTTCGACAAAGATAAGAAGTTTTATCAAGGCCATTGAATTATTTTGATGTTGATGTCATTCTCAATAGAATATTTCATTTTTCTTCATATTTTTAATTTAATATTTTGTTTTATTTATGCTTTTTTTTATAATTATTGTCTCCAATTTGTTTTTTAGAATGCATTATACTTCTGATTCTTTCCATTATTTATATTAATGAAATCCCATTGCCGGTGTTAAAAAAATTGTATATAAAAGATGTGAGCTTGATGGAAGCTCTAGTAGGCGGAGCAGCATGTTTAAGGACCTTAACATAGTTTTAGTGAATTCAACATAATCAAGATTTAGAAATTTCAAAAACCATCTCCAAACCAAAAGTATAATATATTCAATGTTTAACATATTTTTGTGTGTGTAAATTACGTGTTTAGTATCTAAATTATCAATTTTAGTTTGTTTTAATACTTAAACTTTAATTTTTTTAAAATCATACTTAATGTTTACTTTTTGTTTCATTTTAGTACCCCGCAATTAAAAATTTAAAGGATGAGCTCGTCAGCCACCGTGTCTACAGATGTCGGTCATCGCATCTGTCGGCCGGTAAAGCTCAAACTTTCCAATCCGTACATTTTTTACCTTTTGAATGTGATTTCGACATATGTTTTATCAAAAAATGTTTCAATCTCCCTAAATCGACGTTGGACTCTTCAAAATTTTCATCATTCCATCTTCGTCGTCAACCGTTCGATGGGCCTAAAACTGAACGTGATTTTTGGCCATGATTATTTTACTGCAGCCGATAACCACGGAGTAAGAAGAGCGGTAAATTTGTTTGGGAAAATGAATAATCTTACCATCAAAACAGATGGTCAGCATAGGGTCATTGATACTATTCCAGCAAAACAAATTTGATACCAAAATAGTTGTTCTACCTTTTTTTTCGAGTCAGGGAATAATTTTTCTACATTTATACTTCATATGTCAATGATAAATGAAGCAAAAAAAGATTATAGTAAAGAATATCCCTTAAGAACTTAATTGGTTTTTAAATTTTAAATATTTATATTTTTAGGACTATGATTCAATTTTGAAAAAAAAATATTATTTTCAAAATTAGAAATAATAAGAAAAATAGAGATAATAGTATAGAATGTCTCTTACGAATAAAAACATTTAATATCAATTCTCAAATTATAAATATCATTTCATTTTGATCATATGTTGACGTTTTATTAATTTTTTAATTAAAAAATCAATATATTCTTAAAAGTGATGATTCATGACCTTTAAAAAGGGGTAAACTACATAAATAGTCACCAAATTTTTAGAGTGCTTGTATTTTGGTTGCTCTAATTTTAAAACTTGCAATACAATCACTGAACTTTTAATTTATTTTCAATAAGGTCACTGACGTTACTTCCCGTTAGTTTTATCTGACGTGGCACGTTACCTCCCGTTTTATCTTGTTTACTTATTTATCTTCATGATCAACCTTGATAAACCTTGATTTGGAATACCCCAATACCCCAACAAATAGCTCAAGGCATAGCAAGAGGTGAACTTGATCCATTTACGCAAATGCCGTTTCAGGTAATTGTTCTATTTAGTATTTGAATTCCATATTTTTCTTTCATCATTTTCACTAATTGACGATTGTTCCTGACTACTTGGTCCTTCAACAGGGTGTCGTGATAGTTCTCAGTCGGTGTCCAACAGAAATTACAGCTGAAAAGTTTTAAGCCTGACAGTGAAAGAAAAAGGCTAGATTTGCCTGTGTAGAAGAAACTTCTGACCAACTATTTTTGTATCCCTTGATGTTACTTTCTCTTAACTTTGATTTATGACATATTTAGGGGAAAATTGCAATATATGGAATGAGCATTATTCAGTTATCAAGAAGCTGTCTAGTTGTTTGTATATTGTTGTTGCTTAACAACTGAAGGCTTTGCTTCTCTTGAAGCAAAAAGAATCTTCAAGGCCCCTCGAGTATCACCTAAGCATTCAAGTCTGGTTGTTAATTCTTCTATCAGTCCTGACAAACACGTTACTGCGGAGGATGCTTCTTGCAAGATTGATACCCTGTTGTCAACCTCACTCGAGTCAAATAATACTAACAACATTGTGACTGATGCGAGTTAGATTTACATTTAGTTCATTTAAATAGTTGTAATTTTTTGTTACGTTTCCTGCCTCAACTTCTACAGGAAGAAAACGTCTTCATTTTTGAGCTTTCTGAGTATGCAGCATCTCCAAATCGTGGTAAATATTCATGTCTGATAGATTAGTTTATAATTTTACCATCAGTTAAATACTTTGTGTGCTTATGGATATAGAAGCTAGGGTGTATGAGACGAGAAGCCCTGACCGTGTGTTGCCAAAAGAATCTGACCAGCCAACACATAGACCCTCTCCAGCATCACATGAGCATTATCATAGTACTCTTGCACATGCGGCTAAAAGTAAAACAATAACTGATAGCTAAAAGAGCATTGTAAGAAGTAGGTACTTTCAGAAGAAGCGAGTTGACACAAACGATCAGGAAGATAAACAAATACAATTTTGTTGCAAGGATGATAATACCATTCAGTTCCATGAGACTGGCAATCCTGATAGTTATGGGAATAACTATTTTAAAGGAACGGCTTCGAAAAGAAAAAAATTGTTGCAAGGATGATAATACCATTCAAGCAAGAAAAATAATAATAATAAGAAGAAGAAGAAGAAGTGTCATGTCAAATAAAACTAACACGAGATAACATTAGGGACCTAATTGAAAATGAACTGAAAGTTCAGTTACTATGTTGTAATTTTTAAAAGTTGGGTGACCAAAATGCAAACATCCTAAAAGTTCAGTGATTATTTTTGTAGTTTACCCTTAAAAATTAAAACCTTTTAAAAAAAATAAAATTATTTTAGGTCACAAGTTCAATTCCAATGACCTTAAAAAATTAGTGAAATTAACAGTACATTAACGAAAGGGATCAAAGTAGAACAATATTAATAGCTTGAGTATTGATATAAAAGAGTTTTAAAATTTAGAATGTGAATCATATTTAGATATTGATATAAAATATTTTAAAATTTAAAAGATGAATCTAAAATAAAAATTATAATTCAGAAACATCTTATGCAATTAAGTCAAAAACAAAATTTAAAGAAAATTTGAAGAGAATGCTTTAGTTTGATTGTGTAAATGTAATAATAATAATTAAAAGGTCAAGCGATGATTAAAGTATTATGTGTTAAGTCCCTTAAGCAATGTCAGAGGTTCGAATCCTGACGTTTGTGAATGGAGCAAACTGAGTTGGGAGGATCTCCCTCACCTCTACAATACTCGATCTGAATTAATCGGTCAATAAATCAGATACCAGTGATTAATTCAAAAAAAAAGTATCATGTGTTACGTTTCTATTGATTATATATATATTTTAAAAGGAGTTAACATTTTTGGCATAATTCGATAACCGTTAAATATTAGAGATTAAAAATTTTATAAAAAAAAATAAAAGATAATATAATGATAATACATATATATAATTTAAGGGGCAAAGGGTTGATTATGACTCTCTCTTTATATATCTATATATAAACTAATTCAATTTTTTTTA